GTTTACTAATACTGTGAATTTTCGAGGATGAAGAACTTCGTTTTTGTTCTAAATAGATTGCATTTGGTGGTGCCTCATAAATTTCTTTCGATTGTGTAGATAACAAAATAAGCGATCCGGGTGGGTTCTGTAGACCGGATGCACAGTGTGGAATACTCACAATTGTTTTAGCATGCTGTTCCATGGGGAAATCGGCTTTGATCAGAAAATGTCTCTGTTCCGTTTGTTCATTACCGATGTCCGTGTAAATGTCACCGTCAGCACTGCGTAACTGAAGCGAATCAGTGAGTAGATCTGCTTGAAAATGATCAGACATTTCCCGTTCCGTATAGCTGGATAATTTCGTTCGACTGTTCGGGATATTTGTCTGCACAAGAGATGTCTCATCCACTTCGGCCACACAGCCCACAGTTCTTAGTTGAAGAGAACTACTACTGATCGAGGTGGAATCTAATCCGGTCATCTGACTGTGATCCATATCCATCCAGTTTGCTATCTGACATGAGGCATCGAATGAATAGACACATCGATCTGGCAATGTCTGTGATTTGGGTGAGAGAATCGAATCCGGTGAATAAAATTGGACATAGCATACCTGTAAATAGTCTTGTTCTTTTGTGTCTGTCATCAGGGGCAAAGTAAGTTGCATTTTGAATAAACAATGCTGATCAACTGGAGAGCTCATAAAATATATCAGATCCACAGTCCATATCAGTTGTGCTGTATGTTCCACAAGGGAGAAGTTTTTTCGCGTCGAACCGTGTGGATAGCGTGTATGGAATCGGGTGGCCAATTCGGTGAAAGCGCGTATCTTCGGCAAAGGTCGAATAGTCTGTACGGTGCTGTCCACAAGGATATCCGGAAAATTGATCAAATTTTCGAGAGTTGTTCTGAAGTGTCTGGTCAGTCGAGGTTTCTGACCTCCCGGATAGCCGTGAATCGCCAGATTGGGCAAAACACGAGGCATATATTGTTCCGCCACACGTGTGGAATGATCAACAACTTGATGTTTCTCACTGAGAAGTTGGGACACAAAAATGTTCAAATCCAGGCAGGCCAATGTGGATGGGTTGGGAATCACGAACGCATTGATCATGGGGTTCAAAGCTTGGATGTTCTGTTCAATAAAATCACAATTGGAACGAAGATCGTTCACAATACATTGAACTGGAAAGTGATGTTTTGGCGGGGTAATTGTGATCCATTCGATCGAACAGGTCTCGCCAAACGGAGGCACAACTGCTTGCGAACTGAAGCATTCATTCAAACTGTACAGCACGGGGAAACACCGGTTGGTAGATTTGCTAGTAGACCAGAGATGAAATTTGGTCATTCTGATTGAGTACTTATGACAAATGGCAAATGTTTTAGGGATAGAATAAGTGGTTGATGAGAATACACGTGACCAGTTCAGACTGTGGCGTATCTCAGTGGAAATGCCTAATTGTTGTGACAAAACTATGTTCAGTTTAGACATGATTTCGGGTTTTGTTTGCGCCAGAGCCAAACCCGTCACGGACTGGGTTGGATAAGTGCGATCACATTTACACTGCGGTATCAACTGTTGAACCCGATGAGCAAGGAAAAATATGACATTTGGGAATCGGATTACTTCCAGAGGATTTCGATTCCACAATAAAGCCTCTCTGTGAATCGGTAGAAACAATTTCGGTGGCGCTCTCACTCTCAAATCTCCAGAATGATCGGTCAGTACGTGATCACTGATTTCAGAGGTGCTTTGTCGGAACAAAGGTCGACGTGCTTTCGGTTCTATGATATATTCGTCATTCACCGCAGAATAGCAACCCATTTTCCTCCAACGCGTTTCACTCAGTGACCTGCCTCGCCGAGACGAATGGTGCTTTCGTTTGGCTGATGCGTGCCCGAGAAAACTGCGAGGATTCGTCTGTGGGTGAACGGCATTCAAACTTTGTGGTCGTGTGTATTTCGGTGNGGTGCGTGAGTTTTTCCCCATGTCCAGATGATCCGACTTGGCCAGAACTGATTCGTTGGATAGCTCGTATTGTTCCGTATAGGTTGTACAAGGCATAATCACAATGTCTGAGTTGGCATTTGGTCTGAGATCAGTCAGTCTAGTACCATCCGGTGTGTGCACTGGACAAGATTGGGTGATATAGTGATAGGGTAAATCGTTTTGATCAAATTTTTGTTGTTTTTGATGATGATGCTGTTGTTGTGGCTGCTGTTTTCCGGAAGATGGCGTAAAGTTGTATTGGTTTTTCACACTTTGAACAACGAATGTATTAGAACAACGTGGTTCTGTGGTCAGTTGACTGGCCTGTGAATCACGACAACCGGGGATGGAAATAGCGATATCTGACAGATCAGCACTAAATGTGGGTGTCAGTGAACTGAGCGAGTGCAATTCGTCCGGTGTATGATCATCGTGACTTCTGGTCAGATGAAAAATTCGATGATCATCTTGGACTTGAGCAATATAATTCAACAGTGGCGAAGCGTGTCCTTCCATGGACTGGCATCGTTTGCAGGGAATATTCAGCACAGTTTGTGATATCACTTCAGTTTGATCGATCCGAGCGGTGGCATATTTATTCGGATCTCTGGTTACCGAACCATCTAAATCGGAATCTATAGCACACATCGGAGTTAGGAGTATCGGATTGCTGGTCATAGTTATGACTGGGGTCAATGGAGGTCCCGAACAACCTTGCAGTAATGCCGGATCGTGCTCGGAGTCGGTCATTTGAAGATACTTTATGGTATCTCTCATTTCATCGTGTGCACTATTCAATCGTAACGGTTCGAAATGATTTCGAGCATTCATCTTTACTCGGTGCGGATCGAAATCTAGCAAATGTGATAGTGAACACGATGCATCAGAAGATGACACAGAGTGTAGTACAACCTCTTTCAGAATTTCTTTGGCGTTATCTTCATGGAAAGGATCAAGCATATTAGATGCAAATGGAAACGTGTTTGCATGCACATGTCGGGCATATACCTTATTAATCATCGGTGTAACGTTATGGTTGATCGAGCTTTCCCGATCAAGATCACTGAGATCTGAAAAAAAAAGATCTTCCGCAGGAAGTGGAGTATCCCGTGAACAACACAGTTTCGACGGGGATGAAAGCGTCATCGAAGACAGAGATGATGAAATCGAAAAGTGATGTGGTGGTAAAAGAGGAAGTGGTGGCGGTGGCGGTGTTGGCGTTTTTGATGATGATGCCGGTGGAGGGGATATAGTCACTTGGCAATCACGTATATCACCTTGAAATTCCATACAACATTGATGACATTCGATCGAGTCGCTTGGGGTTAAATTTACAGCACACAGATTGGTGAAACCAAACACTATGGATTCTGGACTACGAACATCTAACACTCGGAAACTTTCCGAAATATGTTTCTGAGTTGTCACTGATGTAGACAGAATGGTGGTCGGAGTGGTTGAATGACAATAACCGAAAAGTATATTGACACTGGATGACAAAACCGGTAAACAAATTATCCATGAACGAGTAACATAAGTATCATTGGCCATTTCATCTATCCACAATTGTTTCTGATCAGGCACAATTTCAGATTGACAGAGAGTTTGCTCGTGATACACATCCGGTTTGTCCTCAACGTACACACAGACTACACGAAACGATGACAGACATTCGACCTGATTTTGACCATAACCCATTGCGATCAACGGAGTCCGATAAGTATCGGTATTAGCCGGAAGGATCACTACAGCATGGTCAGTTTCACACTGGAGTGAAAATTGTATAGCAATTACCATTAGTGTTTTGATGGAACTTCGTAGTAATGCAATCGCCAATTGACCGGTGTTAAGCGATTTCTCCACTTCCATGGCTCGGCTACTGAACCTTCGAACGGGACACGGTGGCTTTTGTATGATTTGATTCTGCAGGACTGTTTGGGCGGAGATATCCAGTAGATGACAGGTCGTATTTTGAATTGGAAACACACATTGAGACAAGTATTTTACTGGACAGACATCATAACTGAAAGAATTTTCACACAACTGAGCGACCCGGATCAAACACAAACATAACTGCCGATCGGATTTGGTCTTGGAACAATCATGAACGTCACACATTTCCGCGAGCGGTAAATTTGAGCGGTGCTCACAAACAGTCGACCAAACGAAGAAATTGAGACACGAACCCAAACCTACTGAGACCAGACTGGTTTTAGCTTGTGATTCATTCTCCTCCGGATCTTGATAAACGAGCATAGATTTGACATTGGGAATGCAATTGGTGAGAAGCAACTTCGGTTCGTGAATTGCCCATGTTGGACGATGTACTACGCAGGCCATGACAGAACTCGAGTTCAGTGCCATCTTGGACGGGAGCATGAGCAAGGTCTGACTGGTCGAATCTATACTGGAATGCGTACGCAAATGATGAGGTCTCTGAGACTGATTTCTTCCGGGCTCGACTCTTGGACTGAGTGATGTGACGAACAAACCAACCACTTTATCACGTGGCATTATAGCGGCACATAAAGACGCACTGTGCAACGAATCCAGATCACTCAGTGAAAAACTTTCGGTCAGTGATTGTGTGCAACAAACAGGTGATTCATTTCGCCCCATATTGCTCTCATTCTCTTGTTGTGGTAACTCGACCATTGGAGTTGTTTTTGAAAGGCTGGCATCTCCTAGTTCTTTGGACAAACCAGTTCGCTGTTTATCACTCAGTCTGTCAGTTTCACGAACAGATTTTTGCGGATTTTGTGGTGTGATGTTGACCGGCTGTGATGTGTTCTCACACACATTAAAAATGGTCTGGGTAATTCGTTCTGGGTCTGCATCAATGGAAATTTCGGGTGATAGCATTCGTGGAGATGAGAGATCATGCTGGTCCGACGCGACTTTGCTTGCCCACATTTGATGCGTCGGTGATTTAATCTCAATCACAGATTCCACATGAACCACCGCTTTCGAAGGATTTTTCGAAGAAGATGTGGGACTAATAACGTTGGGTCCTGAGAGCCTGATAGCCGGTACAGGTTCTGCACAGCGCGATATCATATCTATCTTCTTGGATGTATCGGATGCCCCGTTCACGGTTAAATCGACACGAGTCAAGGTTGAAATATTCAATGTGGCCGATTTAGGTGGCACGGTGGTATCTTCCATGGATTCACCGACTGGGGATGTGCATGGCTCGGTCATCCAATTCGGATTCGGATCAATTACGTTTGGATTTTGGGGATTCGTTTTGTCTGGTTCTTTTGGTGCATCTGTTGCGGACTGACTGACACAGAAATTCACACGAGCTACAAGTTCCAATTCACCCTCGTCTGCAAGCATCACGGAAACGGCTAAATTTAGGGCCTCTTGCATGTCACAACTTTTATCCCTTTGAGCGGTTTGTAATTGGGCTTCACTGCCAATCTGTGGTATTTTGTCGGAACGATTATACGAAAACGGTGGTCCCCGCTCGGTCGCTGCTGGAGATGTTCCTGATCGGTTTTCACTGAGGCTCATAACAACATTCCCACGGGTTGAAAGCCAAGGTTTCGTTTCCAGATCGGTCCGTTGTTGTAAATTGGTTGTCATTACACTTTTTACAGTTTCAATTCTTGCACCGTTTTCAGACAGATTCATTGGGTAGGAGTGAGCCGGATCTACTCTGTCACTTGTCCCATTCATGCTGAACAATTGCTCAATCTCAACCGTAAACGGATTTGTAGAGTCTTGACCAGTGCGCAAATTGGTTGTGGTATTTTCACTGGTATAATAAAAATTGGTGGGTTGGATCATTCTGCTTTCTGTATTTGGTTGGGTTGACTTATTGTTTTGAAGAGGAGCAACACTTTGTACACATTGTTCTTCTGCATCCAACCACTGAGTAGTAGTGGGAGTAGTTGCCGGAACCTTCGACTCCGTTCCCTCTGCAACACCGTCATTCAGTGGAAGGTCAGGTAAAAACTTAGCTTCCCCTATATTGAGAACACCTTTCATTTCTAATCGACCAAACGAGGACACCATGGACTCTGTCCAATAAGCAGCTTGATTTGTTGCAGACCCGTCAAGTAGGGATGGATGACCCAATGTAGATTTTCTGTCAGGATCCCCATCGAGTTTTCGTTCGACAGGTACAATGGAGGCATTTGCCAAACTGGACTCCATTTTATCGGGTGCTGTGGTATTTGCAATAACGTTGATAGGTTCAGGCAGATTTTGATTGTCTTCTTGAAACTGTGGTCTACCCACAATGCGTGTAGTTGGAAGAATAGATCCCTGTGGCATAGATTCGGTCTGTGAAACTCGCCTGGTTTTTACACTCAAATCTCCAGTGACTACTTGAAGCGGAATAAGCGAGGGTGCTTGGGATTGATAATCGGGCGGACCCACCTCTCTCCCGGTATCCGCTACAATCACTGCTCCCGGGGCTAATTGAGCCGGTTGCCATTCACCTTCGGTAATGGGATTCGTTGTTGTACTTGGATTTATATGAACTTGTGTTTCAATCATCCCGTCTGGATGCTTAGTGTCGTTCATAAGATTGGTTAGATAAGGATCGCAAATAGTTGTTGGCGATTCCAGTCCAGTATCATCCATTTCAAGCTCGTATTCTTTTGCAACTGCAATTTCCTGTGTTATGATCAATGAGTGCGCCGACTGGGAGCACATCTTTTCGGCATCTTCAGGAGAGGCGTCGCGTAATGCCATAACCAGATTGGAATCAANGGCCGTGTTAGCCAAAACTGGTTCCCCATTGAGATCATTAATGAACGATAGACCAACCAGTTTGGGATCTGGCTGACTAGAGACGCGAATTGTATCAATAATTTGTTGTGAAACTTTCGTAGAGGAAACCACAGTGCTGCTGGTCTCATTTGCAGATGATGGCTGATGAGGAATGGAATTCATTCGGCTATGCTCTGCCGCAGACTGAAGCTGGAAAGACGACCTGGATACCAGACCCACCGAACGTCCAGAATCGGCCAACGGGGCCACAGCAGCTACATCAGCTGCTAAAACACGGCGCCAATGCGAAGAACTTGGTGCAGGTTTATCAGTGTCAGATGGCCCGGAGCACGGATATCCAAAATTCAGTCGTAAATTTTGCAAAATACTTATCTGCACGTCAGTAACATTTGAATCTATCATGGATCGAGGGAATTCTGTTTGTTGGGTGTCTGTCATCTGATCGCTTAGCTGAGCCAAATTTCCCGGTGAACTGGCAACACGAATCATTGTTTGGGTCCGGAAACCGGTATTTGTACCAGAAGTTCCAGGAATCTCGATTTTCGCGTGCACAGACATTAGGGAATGGGAATATCGTTCGGAATGACCTGTTGGGACTCCGATTGTTTTGGATCTTCGGTGTCCGACGGACACTCTTGTCTTGAAGGAAATGTCTTGTGGCACCTCAGAAGACGAAATCTGACTGCTCGGTGACCGGTATTCATTTTGAACTTTATCTGGTGACTTAGGCATTGCCACACCTGGACTTTTAGCAGGCATTTCAATCTTGAGCGGTGATCTCTGGGGACTGGGTCCCTGAGATTCATCTAAACGAGGGCTGGATTTCAAAATTTGTCGACGGATTTGTGGCTTACTTTCAATGGCTTGTTCAGGCTCGGACAATCCAATGGGTTGTGAACGATCTAATGCAACAATTCCTGACATTCTATGCTTCAAAATCTGACGTGTTTGTTTTGTAGCTTCATCTTCGAGGTGAACCTTTACCTTGGATTCAACCAGAGCCTTGTAAGGAATTGATGTGGATGGTATTCTAGATAATGACAATGGCGGGACTTCTTTATCTTCTAGGTCACAGGCATCCGTACGTGCAGATAATCGCACAGTTAGCGTAGCACTGGTTGTCCGTCTACGTGACATCGGTACTTGCAGCTGTTCATCATGTTCTGCGCTCTGTGCAAAATCAAGTTTAACTTCCATTGTAGATATCACAGAAGATATACGGAACGGAAGAGCTTCCGCAAGTGCATCTTTGTCTTCCATTACTTGTTCGTGAAACAAGTCGACTTCAAACTCGCCACCCGCTGCTAAACTACCTTCTGTCTCAAATGTCAAGGCTGAGGTAATTTCAGTTAGTATCTTATCGGGTCTCTCATCCTGAAGCTGTTTGATTAACCTTTTATCTTTTGAAACATAACCTAAACCAGGCGGAAACTGTGAAGCAGCGAGACTCTGCATTGGGAGGACGGTTTGTTTGGCGACACTTGCATCTGATAAAACACTGCTTGCGTCTGAAGTTAGTGACCTCAAAGATGAACCTGTTGGTTGGAATGCTTGGTGTACATCTTCATCATGAAGTTGTTGTGTCCTTCCTTGACGAGTTTCAAAAGAAGCTGCCTCTGGTCCCTCGACTGGTTCCTCAGTAGTGGGCTTTGAGTACAATCGTCCTTCAACATCCACATATGGTGCTGTACTCGGTACAGACTCTGCTGAACGAAGAGAAGAAGCCTCAGGAATAGCGGTTTTGTCACTTATCTCCTGTTGTAATAGTTTGACTCGACTTTGTTGTTCATCGTACCTATAGGGTAACGGTGCGGTTAAAGCTTCTCCCTGTGGTTCAACAGCTCGCCGCAAGTGCGTGGCAGATTCGTCTATGGCAGAGGCTACAGTGCTTTCAGCTGCCTCTTCTGAATGTGTTGAACCAAAACAGGGTAAACGTTCAAAGTCCTCTAGCTGAATTTGTTTTGGTTGGATGAACTCTTGACTTTTGGCATCTTCCATATCTCTTTCGTCTATCACAGAACGAACAGCTTCCTTTCCTGCAATATCCACATCCATGGCTATCTCACTTTTTCCAGACAAAAGCTGTATGAATGGTGTCACTGTAGTGTCTTGATTTGTTGCTACTAATGCTGTTGCATCTGGTATCTTTGAAACACCCAATGCAGCTGCTATGTCTTGTTGCGTCATCTTCTCCTGGCTTTGCTCGGACTCTGATAATGCAAGAGCAAATTTGATTGCCGAGTCCGACACACATCTGCTGCCCACATTTTCACCCTCACAAACTGCAATAATATCTTTTCCTGCTACAGCGTCTTCTTTGATTGTTATACCCGGGTAGGCTCGGTCATCTGGCATATCTACAGGTAGAGATCTTGCTTCAGAGCCAACCTTCTCAAATTTTTCTTGTATACCAGTGACTGTTTCTGGTGGCTCACCACGAGAGTCGGGTATTGTGGTACGAGGTTGTTCAAACGTTTCGGAAGCCACATCAGATCGTGTATCCATCGATCGAGCCCACGGAGCATCAGAAAGGCCTGTTTCGTCCATAGTTGCATCATGCATCTGTTTGACTAAAGCGAAATCATCAGCCACTTTCATTGCGCCCGGTGCACTGGTTACGAGGAACTCGTCTGGTCTAACATCGGGTTTCCCTATTGGTTCAACCTCTTGTGGGATCACGTTTAAATCGGACACACTTCCGACCGATTGTGCTTCTCGCAAACTTTGTACAGTCATATCACTGTGTGCATCTTGTAATGGTTTTATCAGATTAGAGTCATCTTTGATTAGCATTGTTTCAGAATCCCCTAATAATGGTTTTTTTATTTGCAAATCAATCTCAGATTGTGCGTGCTCTGTGGCCTCTGTAGCATCAGTACTTCTCGTGGAAGCCATTTTCTGTTCAGATAAGGCTGTCGATAGTCCAGTTTCACACTGATCTTCATCCTGTAGCTGTTTTTGAAGTCCTGCCGTTTGGCCAACTTTCTTCTGTTCGATAGAACCCGGCAATTCTGGACCGGTCTTCATGACCATCTGTTCTTCTGCCTTAGATGTAATTTTACTACTACCCTCGGACTGTTCACGGGATTGCAAATCACGCACCGACGGAGCTTCGGGCATATCCGTTTGTTCACTATGAGCATCTTGTAGTTGTTTGACCAGTGCCGTTTCAGAGACTTTCCCAATACTGGATACACCGCCTGCCGGGATCTCTGGGGACAGTGGAGATTTCACAGCGTCTGCCACTTGTGTGGATGGAACAGCCGAGGTAGCTGAAGGCAAATCCAGGGATCTTGCAGAACTTGGTTCACGTTCACTCATCTGTCCGAACTGTTCATCTGGCAGTAGTTTCACCTTTCCTTCAACTTTTATTCGATCTGTTTTTCCTTGTTCAACTTGACTGCCTCCACCCAACAAGTTTAATTCTGGACCAGGTTCAGTCATCATTTTAACCTCTTCAGTTAATGGTTGTGAAAGATCTCTAGCGGACGAAGCTCTTAACGAGTCCGGTTCCAAAACATTTTCATCAAGTAGTTGTTTCTGATACTGCGTACCCTTACCAAATATCCCAACGGCAGTCTCATGCTCCTCCGGTGGTCTCATATACTCAACTAAATTAAGATCTTTCAGGTGCTTCCCACTCTGCTCTTTTGATTCGGCCACCGTGCTTCCCACCGTGGCTTCAGTTTCAACAATGGATCCGTCTATCTGTTTGATATCACCAGGCAGACCGTCGGACATTTGCTTTACTCGACCGGGATCATCGACAACTTGTCTCACAGTTGACTGATTCACTGAAGGTCGACTATATTGTATATCATTTTTTGTTTGGAGGTGGTCTGAATCAACTGGTTGGGGAACGATATCTCGAGGCTCACTATTGACAAATGACGATTCATGCTCTTCCGACGGTTTCTCGGCACTCTGTTGAATCGCCAAATTAGGACTTTCGACTAAAGTGTGGGCAAATCTTGATTGTGAATCACGGTCATCCGGAGTGGACAATCTTGATGGAAGAGCGGCTACCTCTCTATAACTTCGATCATCTTTTTCAGAGTCAAGTTGCATCTGGTCATCTTGCTCGCCTTGTCCAGGCAAATCCACAGCATCCTGTCCTCGTAAAGATTGAAGCTCTGTTGCTCCCTGAGCCGTTTCAGATATGTGGTCCAATTTTTGCAAGTTGTCCTCGATTGTGCTCACTTCCGGCTGCTGAGCATTATCAGTCAAAGATTTGTCCAAAGTGTGCTCTTCCAATGGCACTCCATCAGGTTTCGATGGCATACTTACTGATTGTTCGGGACCTTCCTGTGACACATCATCTGGTACGAAATCTTCGGCAGGTATGTTAAGAAGGTCGGCCATAGATGTATCTAAAGCAGAAGGCGTTTCATGATCCGGTTTGGCTACTCGCGACACAGGCTTCGGAGCGGGTTTTTTTGTTTTCAGTGGCGGCGGTGGGGGGGCTTTTTTCTGTTTCTCCTTAGGCTTTTCAATCATGGGTGGTGGAACTGAAACCGGAGCCGGCCGTTCACGAACCACTGGTTTAGGTTCGATCTTTTTCACCGGTTCGGATTTAACTATCGGTGCCGCGGGCGGTGGGGCCGGTTTTGGAACTGCACGCGGTGGACGAGATATCGGTCGGGGTAAAAGTTCAGCCGGTTTCGGTCGTGCTGCGGGTTTCGGTTCTGGTGGTGGTGGTGGCGGCGGCGGTGCGGGTGCGGACTTTTCGCGTTTTTCAGTTACACGTCGCATCGGCGTCTTCCTTGGCAAATTATCTTCTTTCTCCGCTTCTTTCGATATACTTGGTACTATTGGTACCAACTACAAGCGAGATGTACAACTTACGAATATTGAATCATTTGTTAGGAAATCACAATGGTTTAATAGATAAAATGTCAATTAAAAATAATCTCATATTCTGGATCATTGTTTTTTTCTTTCCAATGTCATAATGGGAATGATAGATCAAGTTCCAGTTTGTACAACCATGAACTAGACACCGTGTACCGGTTTTCTTGCTATCTTTTGGCTGACCATTTGGATGAAAGGGTAGAGGAAAGATTGGAGAGCCGAAAGTAGGGTCGAAGAGAAAATGGAGAATTCCGGTAGACTGAACAGATAAGTGAGCGCCACTGTTTGAAACACAGCTATATCGCTCAGTATTTTCAACCATTGATTACAATGAGCCCGAGTTCCCATCCAGGAAGCCTGAAATGACCTATAGGACTGAGTCTCCTGGTCAGGGTTTTCATGCTCTCATGCCAGGCCATAGTTTGACCGAACCTGACTTTTTTCCACCTGCCAGGGCAAACATCACGCTCCGTGACAATCTATTTGCGTAACACACCCCAACCAACGCAACCCATGGAAGTTGGTCAATTACTCCGTGGTTACCTAAAACTCTGCTTCTAACCTCGGCGCTGCTCGTCCAGTTATCCACCAGGCTCGTGAAATGGAGAGTAAACAACTGTGTTCGAACAGCATATACTCACATGATTAGTCTAAATCACCGCGAAACTGGCAATGTGCCTCAAAGGACGTGTTCATATATTCACATACTAATTTTTACAACACATTTGAAATATCTGATATTTGTCGCGGTTAGTAACATTGAATCCGCAAAACATACCACTGAATCGACCAGCTTGGTAACAACATTAATATCCTGTGCTGCAGATAAGAAATTTTTTTACATATATATTTATATATGTATATTGCAATAAATAATATATGAATGACTCGAAAAATTTCCCTAGAGGCACACGACTGGTTTCACGATTCTTGTCGCCCTTCAGACATGCGTATCCGTTAGTCTTTTGTTTTTTCATTCATATACTTTTTAGCAAGTGTATTTTTATCACAATAATCTCATTTGCAACACCGGGTATATGTATGTATATATTGTCGTGCAGGGTAATAAGAATCAATCGTATTAGTTGGCAAGACAGAAATACAGAAATAATTCCTCAATAAGCACAAACTAAATCGACGTATCTGAGCAAAACGTACTTCCCGCTTCATCCGTTTTTCATATCGTTTTGGTGCCGGTGCCGTTTTCTCCGGCTTCTGTGGCCGCTTTTTCACTTTCGCACGCGCGGACCGAGGCACCGCTTGCCCTTCACCAGCAGCTGCCGGTTTTTCCGATGGCGTGATTCTGAGAGAATAACAAATCGTCAGAAGTCCATATAACTAAGCGACCAAATTGAAAATAGTCATGAGAAAACTCAGGGTTTTGTGTAAATCTATTCATGGACTCCGGGTACTCTATATGTTTACCTATGGAACTTTTGGGACAATTAATACCAAGGTTTGTAGGGCTTTGTCGATGGTGTTTTGCTTGTTACATTATTGAAATTTTTATTGTGTTGTTTATGGGCATATACTTGACTTGATCACCTACCTGATTAAATAACTTACCGATAACTTTCAAACGTCTACGGGAACGGATGATGATTTAGTGACTTAGGGTGCAATTGACTTGGTCTCTGTCGCCATCGAATTCTTCAGTTTTTCTTCCCATTGTGCTCAGAAATGAACCCGATCCTTTGATTGATAGAACCAGAGACTTTTGGCCGTTCAATTAGCGGCGTGCCGCGCATCGCACATAGGGGCACCGCTCATCAGCATTGCGCCCACAGCGTGACTCAATTACTGAATCAAGGGCAATCGCCTCGCCCTGTCCGCACACTGGCTATGGGCTCACTGATTATTCGAATGGGCAAAATAATACACATCCTTCAATCCGCAGGTCCATCTGCCCCATCCAATGCGAACCGTTGAACAAGGTTAAACAAGGTCATACACAGATAGAGGATATCGGTAAGTTTTACCAGCTACTCCACTTTACGCGCTTGGCTGGTGCGGAACAGGGAGAGTGCTTTAGACTACGTTATCGATCGGGACAGCCGTGGTGACTTGATTCATGCGTTTGAGCCAAAGCAGACACTTTCGGTTTCAGCCACTTAAGACCAGCAGCAAGGTGACCTATCCAGAAGCCACTAAACTTTTTACACTAAGATTTCGTCTTCACTTAGTCTCATTCTATTTGGCAATATGTGATGCGTGCTTGAACTTTGCTGACAATATCCTAACTGGTAGCGCCCACCCTCTACACACTGACCTGTGTGCATGCAAATCCCATCCCTCCACCCGTTCTAAGTACAAACTTATCTCGTCTCGCATATCTGCATACGGAAAGTCTTTGGTACGCTATCTTACCTGGATACTGACCTACGAGGAAATTGTTCGTTCTGAGCTTTCTAATGCACTTAGTAATTAACTCATATTTGTGTAGGTTTTACGTCCCACTTTTTCACCTCTTTTTTACCAGAATTGTGACTGTGGTCTATTTTTTGGCTGAAAGCTTACATATAACTCGCCAAGGCTTCAATATAATACAATACAATACAATTTTGTGCCCGTACAATTTGGCAGATCAATCAACATGCTACAAAATCTGGAATCCTTGAAAAAAATTGATGTGAGCGTTTACTATATTTCCGAAACACGCAAACAGAACCCCATTTCAACCGTTACATTACGTTCTTCAGAGCCAACCACCTCCTCGCGCTTCATTCTCCGCAAGGTGCTTTGTCATCTGCAACCTGCGGTGTGGCTGGCGTTTGGATTGCGCTAAGTTTCAAGGCTAAACGTTCGCTGCTTGACCGGATCCCGGTCAGTAAGGTTTGAGGGTTCAATGTGAGTAAACAGCAAAAGAATGAACTGTCGCTGGTTATTCATCGTGTACGCACATTGGCAAACTGACTGCAGTTGGCCTAAAATGAAAGATAACGTTTACAATGACTTCAATTTACTCCACCAAAGTGGTCACCAAATGGACATCGTACAGTCAGTCTCCTGATAAGTCGCCTCCGTAAAACGTCGCATTTTCTGATATGTTTGCACTCATCAACAAAACAAAACCAACCATATACTTAACAAGGTTGGTTTTGCATATGTAATGTCGACCCCCCCTCCTCTGTGTGCCCCAATTCCTGATATTTACCCACTTTGCCTCAGACCAATTTACGGGTTAGCCATTGACCAACCAATGTGCGATATCACATTCAGCCAATGACGTCACACCTCGTGTGACGCACACATGAAACTGATCCCCAATCGGATGACACTAGTGACGAAGACTCATAGATGCCAGCAACCCGAGACGCGACAATGTGGAAGCTCTTGTCCAGCAGAGAAAAGCAGAATGTGTTGAAAAGTTTGAATCATCCAGGTGCAACCTAGAGGTATATAACCAAATCACTTGGTATCTCAAGGAAACTGTTTATAGTGTTCTATCCAATCAAACGGTTATCGCAGAATTTGTCAAAGCCAGATCGTCTCAGGAAAGATGCCACCTGAAAACCAACGAAAAGTTCATAGCGACCTTGACACGGTTTACCAATATGAGGAATATACATGGCGAGTTCCCAAATTGGAGTGCATCGTTGCCAAGGTGACTGAATTAGCTAAAAATGCGTTATGGTAACTTTAGGGTTTGAAAGGTTTATTCCGCTCTTCGTCAATTAGATCTGGTATTCAGTCCTAAAAAACAAGAAACTAGTAAAGTCTGACGGTACTATATGATGCAAATAGCACGTGGGTTGATTCCCAGTGGAGTGGCAAGCTAAAAGAAGTACGGTTTATGATTTTGGTATAAATAAATCTTTGTAGTCTACACAGATTTATTTTGTTGATCCATCGTTTCCCATCGTCTTGTTGCTCTCACTCGTGATCTTAAATCCCCTCTGATCCTTTTTGTGATCTGATTGGATCATATTCCGCGATCTGCGACGTTTAAAATCTCTCACCCCAACACGAGACTGTCTGATTACTGGCTTGTACGTCTTGTAATGCTCTTTTTTTACGTCCAGTCCATCCGTGTGGTGAAGGCACGTCTGCTGTACAGTCGACGTTCACTGGGCCTTTTAAAGACTTGCAGCTGTAGACAGGGTGTGGTTTCTCGCTCGAGTTAGTTGGACAAGCACCAGGTCCCTTGGTGCGGCTGAACATCCCGACCGATCGATAAATGAACCTGATCGGCCGCGTGGCTTTCGGGCCGGTACAGGAGACGAATAATTTCTAAATCCGATGCTGCTTAATTGTTGGTAGAGAATAACCACAGGAGAATCAGTGGTGGAACGATGTGCCATTTGGGAAATTTGGAATAGAAAAAGTTCAAACGACGATGACACTGGGCCAACGTTTGACTCGTTTCAAATACACACACTATTTTACTAAGTGGGTTCGGTAAACGGGTAATCATAATAAAACTTCGAATTCGTCTTAAGTACGGACTACAGTATCCACTAATACGGGTCCACGCAGAACTCTTGTTGGTATTTTCCCAACTAGCTCTTTTCGCGTTGAACGATCTTACTAACTACAGCGGAGATGTGATTCTGGAGGAGAGAACAAATATTATGGAAAAATGCATATTCATCTTATAAAATTTGTTCAATGTTTTCCATCCTGCTGCTTGTATAGCAAAGTACGACGAGGATAGTTTTCTTCCACCTACAGAATAGTAACAGTAGGAATACGTTAGCAATATTTTAGCTCGTTTGTGGGATCATAGATAGATAAAACTCATTCCTATCGCCAACTGTCTCATTCAGTAAACTTTCAGGGTTGAACGCATGCAATCAGGATGTGAAAAAATGCGAAGGGTTGATCAATGGAACAATAGGGCTAAGAAAATATGCGATGAAGCTGATCGGCGAAGGGAGAAGTTGTAAGTGACAGATTGGTGTCAATGGCATTGTGGACTGAATATAATGGTCATCCCGGGAATGTCAGAAAAAATTTATATCTGTTAGTTAATGATTAGGTTCGAATTTGATCTGTTAATTCTTTCACCGTATCCATAAACCATTGTCAAATATCCTGCCAAGTGTGTCTTTCAATGTTAGAAATACGTAGGCAATCGCATTGGATTCAAAGGAATCGGTGTTATTTAAGGGAATCACGGCCGCAATGGAATTTACTCACTAGGATATTGAGGGCCCAGACTGAATCCACCCAGGCAATGATTCGTTCCAACATTCACGTCTGGGCATGGTGACCGATTTAGTGATCCATCTTGATGTGATTCGCTTCTTTACCCGAACGCAGAGATCAATTACCGCCGGTTTCGTTCATTCGCATCAATGGCGCACACATGATCAAAGAACAAGGACATAACTGTGGGGGAGAACAGCCCACCCCACCCCATCCCACGTAAACCTTCATTCTTTATCTTTGACAAAAATATTCAAAACGAACCGTTTATTCCAAAAACCGAGAACAATCGAGGAGCTAAAATAGTGCTAACGTATTCCTACTGTTACTATTCTGTAGGTGGAAGAAAACTATCCTCGTCGTACTTTGCTATACAAGCAGCAGGATGGAAAACATTGAACAAATTTTATAAGATGAATATGCATTTTTCCATAATATTTGTTCTCTCCTCCAGAATCACATCTCCGCTGTAGTTAGTAAGATCGTTCAACGCGAAAAGAGCTAGTTGGGAAAATACCAACAAGAGTTCTGCGTGGACCTGTATTAGTGGATACTGTAGTCCGTACTTAAGACGAATTCGAAGTTTTATTATGATTACCCGTTTACCGAACCCACTTAGTAAAATAGTGTCTCATCTGTCAACTTTTGCATCCATTTGGTGAATTCTACCAGTTTGTACCAGGTCGCTCTAGAAATAGCTATCGCGAATACCTCGGTCTCAGATGAATTATCCCTAACCAAATTTAAGGATCGGTAATCAGGCGTGGTTTCGCAACTGGCAAAAGCCACAGGTTAAGTACGGGAAAGCGACCAAATTGGGGAAGAGTAGTGTGAATCGGTCATCTTACTGACTTACATCCTCATGTGAAACCATAGTTTGTCTTCCTTGAAATAAAAAGCATTAGACTCTTCATTGTAGTGTATTCATGTGGTGCGTCTGCTGAGGAAGCCTTTCCCATTACACGAGAGTAATGGAGGATCCGATTAAATTTCTTTGAGTGACTTCGTCGTGCATGTAGCATATGAAGC